GTACTGCTGTGTGCATATCAAAACGTATTTGTGTTAAAAAGGAAGACTGTGTATCAATCTTGTTGGCAAATATCATAAACTGACTATATATATATCGGCTTTTACTTGACTGCTAAATCTAAAATACGATTAAACTACTAAATTTAAAGTATCATTATTTTCATCAGAACTCTGATTTTTTTCTGTTTTATTATGTAATTTGTATTTACTTTTCCAGTGTGTTATTTCATAACTTTTTTATATGGCCATGTGTTGGCATGGCCTTGTTACACAGCGAGGGGTCCGATGGAACCAAGAAAGAAGGGGGCTTATTGATTATCCTCACTATAAAGCACCCTCGCTTTTACGATGTTGATTGTTACTGGATCAGGATGATCACATTATTTCGAGGTTTAGGTGTATTTAAATCTGGATTTTTAACTCATTACAGGTGTCTCCCAGTGGCTTAGCAGTAAGTTCCAACACTTATAACCCTAAATTTCGGATTTTGATTCTCTTGGAGGTCACAAGAGAAATAGCCTTTTATGTAGTTTTGCGCTAAAACAAACATTGTTATACTAGTTTTCACAGGTTTGAAAATAAGATTTAAAAAAATGAGTGGTTCCACATGCGTTTTAACTGCACAAAGATTCAGTTGTGTTTTACCGTAATATATGCACTAAGAAATCAGTTTAAAGAAAACATTATGTCATATTAATCGATAATTCAAACTTAGTTGTGTGTATAATTTTGAATTTTGCACAAAACTACTTAAGAGCTATCCGTGTAACTATCTACAGGGAAGGAAACTAGTCAACACCATCCACCTCCAACTCTAGTGGGATTGACCAATAGATTATAATGCCCTTAGGCTGAAAGGGCGAGCATTTTTGGGATGGAATTCGAACCCACGACCCTCAGCTTGCAAGTCGACTGCCCTAACCACCAGGCCACATTCACAGATAAACTGATTTTCCTACTAATATTAGATAGGCCTACTAATAATAGCAGATTAACCAAGATTCAGTTAATCACAGAACAATTCTGAATTAATACTGGCTGAGTTTAAGTTTAAGAATGACAAAAAGAAATTTTTATACGTAAATACGAGTGAACACGTTGAAATACTTGGCCAAAAGTCTTTATTAACGAAAATAAACAAACATACAGCGCGTGTACTTATGGTTTGAAGGATACGTTGAAACCCGCTTGTTAGCTTGAAATTAACAGGGCCTTTCTGTATTCTAGTGGTGCCACCAAGTGAGAGAATCACTCATTTTCAATTTATTAATAGATTTCATTCAATAGGCCACAAAAAAGACCAAATAGGACTTACTGGAGCCGAAAGGGTGAAATATGGTGTGGTAGAAAGAGGGATTCAACAATCGTTTGAGGCATGTAACGCATTTTCCTTATTTTCTCTCCATTCCACCTTATCTAGGAGGGAACAGACCTGTTTCTTTGTTCTGGGTCTTTCTGCCTCCTTTACCACCTTTGTTTTACTTGGACCTAATTCCAAAATATATGACTTCT